GCTATGTATACGGACCCCCCACAGGGATGAGATCATTATGTGCTCCAAAGGCACCGACAAAAATAAAAATTAAACAAGTCATTACCCAAAAAAAAATCCAGGTTTTGCATCTTAAAATTTCTAAGTAATCACTCTAAATTATTAAACTTTCTCTCTCAGAATATGCTAAAAGAAACAAGTTATGTCATGTACAGGTACAAATTCTCTGTGATGAATGTGAACATTATGTGTGTCTAAAATGTACCAATAAAATCTGATTGGAAAAGAAAAGAATCCCCTAAGATTTTTTGTAAAAACTTGAAGAACCACAGAACACTCATTTAAGGAAGTCCTTTCATCTAGTGCACCGGAAGCGAGCAAGCAGTGAGCCAGGCAAACCGCTGTCAGTTCCGTATAAAACCAAAATGAGTCCCCTCCTAACCGGCACTCAGTACTCCCGCCCGCATCGCCTCCGGCACCCGTGACCCTGCCATCACCGGGAAGCTTGTGAGAAATGCAGACGATCACAGGAACCCAGCTCACAACCCCACACTCACTTTTTCATCCCTTCTTCCTTAGTAACAAACCTCATTTTTATTCAGGAAAGCAAAACACTCAGCTTTGAAAGAACTCTTATTTCCTAGCTTTCTTTGCAAACAGATATGTTGTCATATCACTAAGTTAACGAAATGTAAGTAGAAGACATCACGTTAGTGATACTCGCACACCCATGCACAGTTTACAGGTGACATGCACAGTTTAAAACTCTCCTGAAAAGGGCAACAGGGCACAGCAGCACACACCTGCAATGCAAGACATGGGCGGTTGAGGCCAGAGGACTGGGCTGCATAGTGAGTTCAAGGCCAGCCTGAACTACATAGCGAGACTCTGGGGGAGAAGGACGGGGAGAGAGGGCGGGCAACAGACACCATGTGCTTTCCTCCTCAGTTTCTCCTTCCTCCTGCTCTGTGCCTGAAACAGGAAAACGATAATGGAGCAAAAACAGCCACACAGGCTACGAGACAAATGAGAATGAAAGGCACGCACACCTACATTTGTAGCCGTACCGTTCGCAAGAGCTAAATCTTGGAGGCAGCATGTATGTCCATGAACAGAAGAACGGGTAAGGAAATCGTGGTATTTGCACACAGTGGAGTACTGCTCTGCCATGAAGAAAAACTGGAGTCATTTGTAAAAAAAATGGAAGCAACCTGACACCATCGTGTTAAGTGAAATCAATCAGACACACAAACTGGACTAGCACTTGGTTTCTCACATAAGAGGAACTCAAATTATAAATGAACGGTAAAATAAAAGACAGAAGTAGGGAGACAGATCTTTTGCAAATTAAAGGGGCTAAAGAGATGGGGGAAGGAGAAAGGAAGGAAAGAACGGGATGAAAAGGAATTAGGGTGTGTTACGCACATGCACCAGCTCCACACACAGAACACAAACATTGTGCACTGCAGACACGCACTAACGAAAGTTTAAAGATCACAAGACAGCCATGTTTCTGTGCAAAAGAAAAAATGTTTTCTTCAACACACTGTTACAAACCGCTGAAAATAACTAATAGCATATATAAGTATGGATAAATCAATTTTCCCCTCAGCTACACAGAAAAAGGGTAAATGTTTCAATCCCTAGGTTCTCCTCTACAAAAAGCTTCATGTGTATGCCTTGTTTTAGAAAAGATTTTGGGGTTCTTCAGCTTCAGCACTTGGAAAGACCAGATTTTTTGATTCCAGTGTAAAGAAAAGCCCCTGGAAAAGTTGTAATACCACAGCTTAGAAGAAAAGAACAGTTAGCTAATTGAGAAAATGCCTCCCCTTGAAAAGGATGTACTGCTCTCCATGGATGAGCAAGCGAGTGTTCGACATCTTATAAGAGAATCCACAAGAAGTGCGTGCTTCATGATAAAGCAGGGGGAGAATTTCTGGGACTTTGGAGAGTTAAATTAAGCATGTAGCAGGGTCAGTCACAAAACTGCTAAAGTAAATTGAAAACAAGAACAATTCTTACAGAATGCAGAGGAAAGCCCAAAAACATTAAGATACAAATGAGAAGAAAAAAGCAATGAAAGGGCTGATCTAGGAGGTACAATATACGTGTAATAGAATACTTGAAAGAGAAGACAAAGCAAATGAAGCTGCAACAATAATTAAGAAACTAAATGAAAAAATCTTCCCCAAGTTAAACTATGTAGGGTGGCAAAAAAAGAAGGCTCACAGGGTTTCTTTAAAATTTAATGAAAAAATAAAAAGGTTCAGGTTGTTTAAAAAAAAAAGATTCAGGTTGTTAAAAAATAGAATGAAATTTAAGGAAAAGAAAACAACACCTAGATATACCCTGATGGTTTTTTTTTTTAATTTCAAAGATAAAGAAAACACTTTGCAAGTATCCAGATAAAGAAAGCAAGTTACCTTTGGCAAAAGTCAGAGTGATCTCAGATACTTTTCTTGGCAATTCTAAATGCTGGAAGACAATGGAAGAACATCTACAGAGTTTTAAGGGACGATAATTTTGAACCAAGAATTATATACCTGCCAAGTTAGTATTTCTGTATTAAAACAACTGGGAGAAACTGTCAGGTACCGAGGGGTTAATAAAATATATTGACCAAGAACCTTTTCTGAAAATTTTGCTGAATGATTTACTACAGCCAACAGAAAAATTTTAAAAAGTAGGGACACAATTTGACGGTAATCATTAAAGCTAGTTAAGAAGCATGAAGTCTAAAATTGTTACATATAGGGAAGGGTGATAAAACTAAATGCAAAATAGATTTTTAAGCTAGATCTAAAGTTTTCATTGTATGTAGGTTTTGTTTCGTTTTGTTGCTTTATTTTGTTTTGAGACAAGGTTTTGCTATGCAGTTCAGGCTGGCCTCAAATTCACTTTGTAGCCCAGCCTGGCCTCACACTCACCAGCGATCCTCCTGCTTCAGCCTCCTCAGTCTGGGATTACAGATGTGAGCCACCACTCCTGGACTTATTTTATGTAGTTTTAAACTCAAAGTGCATGCCAAGTATTGAATATATTGTACAAATAAATACTGTTTTATTTTTGTCATGTAATATTATAAAGCATGTTGTTAAGAGAAATGTATCTGAGATAAAAGCGTTTTGTCACTGTGGACAAAACAAATACAGTAAAGATATTCTAAGTATTAATCTGATTTTCAAAATTAGAAAATAGTACAGTTTTATTTCCCTTAAAAATAAAAGAACAAGTTTGTAATGTTAATACTGATAGTGTAAGACGAAATTTTCCAAAGCACTAGTTGCAAAGAGGTAGATCTGTTTGAAATGTTGAATTGTGAGAACCAGCAATTACTGCATCAGATGGTAGCTTATATAAGTCAATTTGTCATTGAATTGTGGACAAAAGTAGAATATATAAATTCTAAGTTCCTGGAATTAAAGAGAAGTGAAAAAACAAGAAAATGTAGCAAAAGACAACACCAAGAAAGGGTTAAATTTTGCATAAAAGATTCTGACCAAGTTAGAGATGAAATATAAAATGATTAAACTTCCAAATAATAAGATCTAAATTGAGTAAAAACTCAGTCTCTGATCCAAGACACTCATATGTATACAAAACAAAGGTTAAAAGGTTTTAAAGGTAATAGAAAAATCTTTAGATCATAGATATGGAAAAACAATGCAGACAGCATTTGGTAAAAATAATATTCTCCTCTTCCAATATAAAATTGCAAGCCTATGATCACTGAAAAGACATTCTTCACAATTTGTAATTAAAGCTGTCTTATAAAAACCATATGGGATAGGAAAATTATAAATTAAGTACACTGTTTAAAACAAAGTACAAATATTAACTATGAAAAGCTAAAATATTTTTAAAATGTGTATCATAGTTTTTTGAGAAGTAGTTCTCTCTCACTCAGGTCTTTTTGAGACAGGGTCTCGCTATGCAGTTCAGGCTGACTTTGAGCTCACTTTGCAGCCCAGGCTGGCCTCGAACTCGCCAACAATCCTCCTGCCTCAGTCTCCCGAGTGCTGGGATTACAGGTGTGCGCCACCATGCCCAGTTCAAAAACAGAAACGAAGCTTTTTTTTTTTGGTACCAGGAATCGAACTCAGGACCCTGTGCTTGCCAGACAGGCACATATGCCACCGAGCTATATCCCCGGCCCCACTCACGTCTTTAAACGCTGTAGCAGTATCTTTTCTGAACTTATTTTCATTTAAAGTCACATGTCTTTATTCCCTCTAAAAAGCCAGTTATATTATTCCTTAATAATTTACTAGCATTTCCTAATAAGAACTACCACTATACTACTTTTTGCTTTACATTCTTACTACGTAAGTGGTAATATAATTATTAGACTCATCCTCTAACAGTTCTCAATTCTGCAAACGGGCACCTACAGGAAACCCAATCAAAATTATTTTTATCACATCTTCAATCTGGGAGCAGCAGCGTCCTCCCTTGTTCACATCTGACGTGCCATTCATATGTCTATTTTTCCTCATTCTTTTTATTATTCTCGAAAGACATTATTTCCGTCACCACCCTACAAAGCCTTTTTGGGGGGATAGCATGAGAAAACGGCCTGAGTCTTTTTAAATTACAGGTGCATTTTCCAGTCAACTTTATTTATTCAGATAAGCTACACTATATAAATCTATGCAAAACCCTATTTTATGACTGTTTACTTCTTTCTTTACAATTCCTATTTTCATCCATTTTTACACCAAAAACATTCTCACTAAAATACTGCTAATCTCAAAAAATCATCTCAAGTCCTTTAACATAATTTGACTTAGACTCATTAAAACAACAAAAGTCTATTTTCAGTGTCAGGGAACATTTTAACTTCCCTTTACAGCTGCTAAGAGGATATTAGGGTGAAACACTAAACTGCCTCATTTTTATTGATACTCTATACTGAAAAAATTATGGAAAACTGGTTGAAAAAAATATTTCAGAATTTTGCCAAATGTTTCATAATGAAAATAGTATTAAAGAGGAGAAGTCGTAAGAGAATGATAGCTTACCTTGAAATGGGATTCTAACATACTTTGTCGTGAACTAAAGGGAAAAAGGCAAGACAGTGAGTTAGTACTCATACTTTACAACTTCTATACCACCAATAAAATGTGCAAGAACGTGTTCAAAGCTCTTTTATCAATAAACCAAAACAATGTTTCACTGTAAAAAATTAACTTTAGGGATGTTTAAGAAGCCTGCATAATATAATGCACTCATTCATAAAACCAGTTAAGATTTTATATAATATATTTTGCAAAACTATATTCTGAATTTTTCCCCCAGTATTGGGGACCGAACCTAGGGCCTTAACAATGAAATACAGTTCCCAGCCCTTTTAAAATTTTTTTATTTTGAGAGAAGTTCTTACTAGTCCCTAACTTGCCCAGGCCGGGGGGGAGGGGCAGGGGGGGATGGGACAGGGGGTGTCAAATGTGATTCTCCTGCCTCTGCCTCCCAGAACACTGGGATTACAGGTATGCGCCCCACCAAGCCTTGTTTATGTTCTGAAATTTTAAGGAAGAAATAAGACAAAGTCCAGAAGAAACTGTCAAGGGATCACAGAAGGTAGCTGACTCAGAAGCTGATAATCACTCTCTTAGGGATGAACTTAGCCAAACAAAATCACAAAAGGCTGCTGAATAAATCAAAGTGCCAATGTACTATATTATTTATAAAGAAATATTAAAACAGTCAAAAGACTTAACTTGTACACTACCTATTATCAACATTCTGTTTCTATGGGGAAACTACCAATTATAATCAAAAGATTGCTTTTACAACCTGAAAACAACACTAGCAAAATTAATTGTTTTACTATGGAATGGCTACAAAGTCTACAGAACATAACTTCAAAACGACATAAGTCTCCAAGCAAAACACCTTTCCTCTGGATGACGTTTAGATGGGCACTGCAAATTCTTTTATCTTTCATTGTTCCATGTTACAAATTCAGGCTGAAGTTCCTGCTCTGCTCCCCAAGAACTTTACTTTCTCTAGGGACTTCTGGGTAGATCTCATCATTCTAACTGTTGCTTTCACAGGAAATTCTCAAGGCTAAATCTGACATACACCATCTAAGACAGGCTTGTGTTTTGAAGTTTGTTTTTCCACTAACACTACATGAGTATGCCCATTACTCTTTGGATAAATTCTATACATTTATACAACTGTTAACCACATCAAGAGCACAGTCTTTGAGCACAGGGTAAAAATCAAAATCATCCTGAGTAATGAATTCTATGTAACTATCGAACACTGTTCCCTAAAACCAAAGGTTTACTTTAGCTCCATTTATTTCACCACTTTAAAAATTATTTCATATATTTACACAAATGTAAAACTCATATTCCATGAAACAAGTCAACCACTGGAGCAAACTATGAAGCAAAAGTAAAAGTAGAGTTTGTAATTCAAATCCTGCCCCTGTGTCTCTACCACTGACACAAACAAAAAGCAGGTGAGCAGGTAACTTTCCGAACTTCTCACAGCTTTCAATACAACGCCCTTAATCAAAGGGCGTTATTATATTTAGATACTGGCACCTAAGAATTTCATCCCAATGAATACCACTGAATTATTCTGCTACTCTCACATAACTGCTATACACTTAGTGTCTCCTACTTTCCTCTCTAAATGCCTTCTCACGGGTCTCACTGAGTCTTTAAGCTCATAAAACATATCTGAATAAATATAAATGGTTCCAGGAAATGGAAAGGAGTGATTGCTTTCACAGTTCACAGAGCTGTGACTACAAAATGGTGAAACAGGAATCACCATCCGTGTCCCCACCACCCACTTTCCTGTCGCACTTTCCTCACTCTCCCGTGCGCCTCCACGCGGTCAAGCGCTCCTGTCCTCTCGATGAATGACAACTATGCCAACAGTTCTCTCTCTGGAGCAAGACCCTTACTTTCGAGCAAAAATTTAACCTCCAGTTAAGAAAGTGAGAAAAGTGTCTTCTGTGACAGTAAGGTAGGTCCAGTTCTCTGAAATCACAACTAAGCTGATACAAACTTAAGAACAAAGCTGATTAGGGGCTGGGGATTTAGCTCAGCAGCACAGCGCCTGCCTGGCAAGCACAAGGTCATGAGTTCAATTCCCGGTACCAGAAAAAAACCAAAAACCAAAAAACAAATAAACAAACAAAAAAGAACAAAGCTGATCATAACTTACTTTATAATTTCTTATAATACCCAAAGCAGTTCTCGGAATTTATTTTACACTTAAATACTTTGCCCATCATAAATGTTAAGATTTTTTGAAAGGTCACAATTTATTGCAACATTCTGTACACTAAACCAAAAAACATTAACTTAAATGCACAACTAGAATAAAATGGCTCTAACTTATGTAGTAATATCCTACCACTGGTATTCTACTAATTCTGCTAAACTGAAACTATAATGAAAGCGCAAACACTATTTCCAGTATCTGTAACAATGTCATATAGTAGGTTATTCAGTGAATGTTTGGAGAATTACTGAATTTAATCTCGTATTCACCCATCCCCCAAAAAAGTTCTTTAATGTCCATTACAGAGCATTATCAACTGTGTCCAAAAAAGAATACAGATATAGTAACTTTTCCAAATCCTAAAATTTTAACCTTTTATTATCTTCCATATTTTTGCTATTAATTGTACTTTCTTTAGTTTTTAAAACTATCTGTATTCTCTCCATTGTATCTTTAAATTTTTGTAAAATTTCTCCTTTCTTAGAGGAAAAATATTTGTATTCACTTTGATTTAGTAAACTATATTCCTATAATTACATATTTTAAGCTTTTTTTTTTGAGACAGGGTCTCACCATGTAGTTCAGGCCAGCCTTGAACTCACCACATAGCTCAGGCTGGCCACAAATTCACCGCAACCCTCCTGCCTCAGCTGCCCAAGTACTGGTACTGCAGGCCTGCACCACCACATCCTTAAGCATTTTATTTTAATTATAAAAAATGATGAGACAAATTTTTGAGGCCTACTATATTTGCAGATCCTATAACATGTAAAATAAAACACTAAGCCAACTGAAATGACCAACAAATGGAAATTGTTAAATACAAATATCCCAAAATTTAAAGGGGAACTGAATTACATTAACGTAATTTAATCCCATAGAATTAGCAGCAGTTGTCTCTGGATCAGAAGATTACACAGTGCATGGGATTTACATTGCTCCTTTATGCACTTGTTTTTTTGGCCTGGTTTTGTTTTTTGCTCATAACTAGCCCAACCAACTGTATAATAACATATTACATTAAATAATAAAAATTTCATTGTTAAATATTTATGTTGATGTTTCACACCTGGCAGTTTTCCAAATTTTACCAATACAAAGAACAGAAAAGAAATATCTGGTTAAACATGAACTTATAATGAAAAAAAGGAAAGGAGAAAATTCTGAAAAGTGAACAAAATTCCTTTCAAGAAAAAGAACTGTAAAACAATTAAAAATAAGTAATTTTAAAAGTACATCAAGCACACCAAAATCATTAACATTTGAAAAAAAAATTGTAGTAGGGAATATTAAAACAAAATCATTCTTGAACTTTCAATCAAAGCAAAGTTAAGTATATCACAAGCTACCACTGTGTGTAGTTCCTAGAATTTTCTAGACCTGTACGTTATGTTTAATGGCATTTGGTCTTCCCGCTGTATGGTCACTAAGTAAACAACTGCCTCAAATCTTAAATCGTGTGCTGTCTGGTCTGTGAATCCTTCCCTGATTCTTCTGACACTTACAGGTTCTCATTCCCACATTTTATAAATATTTCCAATGTGCATTTTATGATAGAGTAAGTAACTATATGTGTGTTTCCTCAATTAGACTACAAATTCCTTGAAAGAAGAAACTGGATGTTACCATTTTTATATCCTCGGCCCTATTCCCAACACAGTGAAAATTACTAAAACTGCTAGAAAAATATCTAAGTTAGTAGCCAAGAATACAGCCCAGTGGTACAGTGCCTTCCTGGCAAGCGCAAGCCACTGAGTTCAATTCCCAGTAACCAAAAAAAAAAAAAAAAATCTAAGTTAGACTTTTGGAAAGATGGCAGAGCAGTCAGCAGCAATAAATCAACCTCTCTCTAAGATTTGGAATCCAGCTGGGCAGGGTGGTACACACCTGTCTGAAGCAGGAGAATCACTGGGCAGCCTGGGCTACATAGTAAACTTAAGGCAACCTGAACTACACAGTGAGACCCTGCCTTTAAAAAAAGAAAAGATTCAGAATCAAGACACTGGAAAATAAAAATACGGGAAAGAAAAGGACAGGTGTGGACCCTTGGGACCCAGGAAGCATCTGAAGGGAAAGTTGGAGCCCACAGAGAAAGTGAAGACAGCCCTCAGCACAGAATAAAGGAGAGGGCAGCCTGCACTTTCTTTCCCGCGCCCAGCTCACGGCCTCAGAGAGGAGAGTTGAGTCAACAGAGAACCAGTGAGGCGGTGACTCCAGAGGCCTCCAGGGAGAAGTGCATCAGTGGAAAGGAGCAGGAGAGGCTGTGCACTCCAGCCGCTGATGAGCGGCTCCAGTCCAGGCAACTATCACGGCCCTGGAGAGGGGGGTTGGTAACCAGCACAAGGAGGGGCCAACGGAACCTGAGACTCAGACCTGAGACAGTGAGGGCCGGGGATGTAGCTCAGCGCCTTAGCACCTGCCTGGCAAGCGCAAGGTCATGAGTCCAATTCCCAGTACCACCAAAAAAAAAAAAAAAAAAAAGAAGAAATCCCACAGTGAACGGATGAGGGACAGCTGTGAGAGACACCCAGGGTGAGAGCGCCATGGTCAAGCTGGCAGGAGACACTCAGGGTGTTGTAGGCCAAATGACACAGGCCACAGCACCACAGCCAGAGCCCAGCAACAGCTTGAGCTCCTGTGCAGTTGAAAGCACCGGAGTCAGGGCCCCACCCATCCTACTGCGCACTTGCTGGGATTCTCCAGCGCAGATCTGGGCTCTGACTGCCTCCTCCATCCGCCAGCACAGCAGACCAGCAAGGGCAGTCGTCCCATTGAACTGGACACTACCACAAAACTGGAGGACCCAGAGGTAACCACTGGGTTGAAATCACTGAGAACTTCTTTTTCTTCCTTCCTTTACTTCTGGTTTGTTGTGCTGTTCGTTTGGGTTTCTTTTTTCTTTCTTTCTTTTTTGATTGCTTCTCTCATTTTTTTCTTGAGTATGAGCACTGTTTTAGTTTTTTCCTTTTGTTTTGTTTTCTTCCTTTCCCTCCTGTCTTCACCACTTCTTCCTTTTGGTAATCTTCCTTTGTCCTTCAGCCTTGCTTCTAAGTTCTTTCTGTTATTTACCTATTTTTTCCTCTTATCCACTTTAACATGTCTCTCCTTAGGGCAAAATAGTTCTCTCTATTGAATGGATGATATTTACGGTATATAACTGTCTGATTTGCCTTAGATCTTGGGTTTTTTTCTAGACAGGGTTCCATTACGTAGTTCAAGCTGTCTTTGAACTCACAGCAATCCTCCTCCCTCAGCCTCCCAAGTGCTGGGATTATAAGCATGTGCCACCATGCTTAGTTTAGATCTTGCTGTATAACCATAAATCTTCTGCCTGCAGTTAAAGCTGACAAATGTATACTTATCAGTTTGTCATTTCCCAGTCTGTGTTTACTACTACTGTTATCACTGATTGTACTACTTTAGCCAAGGTGACATAGTTGTTGGGATCTACTGAACTTGCTTGTATGCCAATATCTAGATGGTGAGGGAGTCATAAGCAACACTACAGCACAGTACCAAGGAAATGAGTGCAGACCAAACAGGTGGCAAGCTTTCATACCTAATATATTGGGACAGCCAAGAGCCAGCTAAGCCTAAAGAAAGATCAGAAAACTAGCCATTTCCTAAAGAGGTCTCAATACGAGTAATAAAACTACCATGAGAAATTTACAAGCATCAACACAGAAAATAAGTAAACAAAACAAAATATAAAATGAGAAAACATGGAAGCAAGATACAACACATAATCCCCAACTCACCCAAGGCAAATCAAGAGGGCATCAACATGGAAGAAATACAAAGCCTCCCTGCTAGATTTCATGAAATGGTGGCAATGGAATTAGCAAAACAGATTAGTAAGTCTCTTAACAAAACTAAAATAGAGACAAAGAGATGACAAGCAGAATAGAGAAAATGATTAAAAAAAATAAAGAAGCCTAAGAAAGACATGGAACCCATTTATGATAAACAAAGAAGACAACCAGATTCCATAAAACAGACTCAAACAGGAATCTAGGTGATTAAAAATTCTACTGAAAGTATACCAAGCAAAGTCAACAAATGCGAAGATAAGTATCAGATCTAGATGACAGGCTTGTGATTGGTAATCATTAAATGAACGAGCTCTTAAAAATAGAAAGCTGCTAGATGATGCAAAGAAGACTAATATAAGATTAACTGGAATTAAGGAAAAAATCAGAAGATACAATAAAGGGCATTAAAAAAAACCTGTTTACAGAAGTAATAGCAAAAAAACTTTTCATACCTGGAAAAAGAACTTGAGACACAGATAAGTGAGTTACACAGAACTCCAAATAGTCATGATCAGAAAAAAACTACCCTAAAACATGTAACAGTTGAGATTCCAGAAATTCAACACATATTAAAACCTGTCCGAGAAAACAAACAAATCACATCTGAAGGAAAACCCATCAGAATCACACCAAACTTCTCAACTCAAACCCTTAAGTCAAGAAGCACTTGGAGTAAAGTATTTCAAGTGCTAAAAGAAAACAACCTCCAATCCAGTACGATGTACCCCACATAGCTATCTTTCAAAACTGATAGAGAAATAAGACATTTCCATGATAAAGAACACTGAAGAAACTCAGGACCCACCATAAGTTCTTCATCCTTCAGCACTCCAAAAAGTTCCAAGAATCACAATACAATAAATCTACCAGGTGAGGCAGGCAATAAAACAGAAGTGAAAGAAAGGAAACCAACAATAGTAAAATAATATGATGAGCATAAGTCTATACACATCAGTTATAGCCATCAATGTGAGTGGTTTCAACTCACCAATAAAAAGAAACAGATTGGTAGAATGGATCAAGAAACAAGATCCAACAATATGCTCCATACAATAAACTCATTTAACTGAAAAAGAAATTTGTAGGTTGAAACTCAAGGATGGAAATCAATACTCCCTATGAGAGGAACCCAGAAAAAAGCAGGGGTAACTATTCCATTTGCAAGCAAAATGAATTTCAAGCCAAGATTGATCACAAGAGACAAAGAAGGTCACTATATACTTGTTAAGGGAACCATCCAAGAGGAAGAAAAAACAATCATAAATATATATGCACCAAATACTGGCGCATCCAATGATATAATACAAACACTACTGGATATAAAAAGTCAAATAAGCACTAATACAACTGTAATGGGGGACCTCAATACCCCACTGTCACAAATAGGTCAACAAGATAGACAGTCAAAAAGTAAGTATCAGAACTGAACCAAACCTCTAAACAAATGGACTTAATAGATATGTACAAAGTATACCACTGAACAACAGAATACACACGCTTCTCAGTAGCATGCTGCACTTTCTCCAAAATAGACCACATAATAGCTCAAAGAACATGCTTAAGTTAAGGCAAAGGAATTGAAATTGTCCCATATATATTATCAGATAATAGTGCAATGAAACTAAAAAATCAATAGCAAAAGAAACCACAAAAACACATGGAAATTAAACAATATCCTCCTGAACAACCAATGGCTCACAGATGAAATTCAAGAAGAAATTAGACAGTTTCAACAATTAAATAGTAATGCCAATAAGACACACCAAAACTTATGAGATTTAGTGAAAACAGTCTTACAAGAGAAATTAATAGCAGTAAATTCCTACATCAGAGAAACAAAAGAGAGCTCAAATATGTAACATAATACTGAACCTCAAGGTTCTAAAAGAAGAGCAAGCTAAACCCAAAGCACATACAAGGGAAAAAATTATAAAAATCAGAGCAAAAAATTAATGTAGTTGACACTAAGAAAATAATACAAAGAATCAATGAATTCAAGAGTTGGTTCTTGGGGGACGGGGGTGTGGCTCAGTGGAAGAGCTCTTGCCTTGCATGCATAAGGTCCTGGGTTCAATCCCCAGCACCACAAAAAAAAAAAAAAAAAAAAACACCAATAAGGGGGCTGAGGATGTAGCTCATGGCAAAAGCCCTGGTTCAATCCCCAGAACCCACACATAAACAATCAAGAGTTGGTTCTTTTAGAAATTAAACAAAATAGGGGCTGGGGATTTAGCTCAGCAGCAAAAGCTCCTGCCTGGCAAGCGCAAGGTTGTGAGTTCGGTTCCCAGTACCGGAGAAAAACAAAAAAAAACAAAACAAAAAAAAAAAGAAATTAAACAAAATAGCCAAACCCTTAGCAAAAAAAAGGAAAGACCCAAATCCACACAAGTAGGAGTGAAAAGGGCAAAATCACAGCAGATCCTGCAGAAATCCAGATGGTCCATACCTACTTTGAGAACCTGCACTCTAATGATGGAAAACACAGAAGAAACAGACAGATTCCTAGATACATGTGAAGTACCAAAGCTGAAACAGGAAAATATAAAAATTATAAATAACTCAGTATCAATTAATAAATTTGAAGAAGTAATTTAAAAACTACCAACAAAGAAAAAAGCCCAGGATCCAGTAAATCTCCACCTGAATTCTACAAAAACTTTAAAGAAGATCTAATGACACTATTCTTTAAACTTTTTAGTAAAGTTGCCTTATGCTAACAAGGGTCTTTATGTTGGTGAGGACGGCAGAGAGATGGCAGGTCACCAGGTAGTTTCTGTGTTCTAATCTGGCTCAAAGGACAGAACAAGGACGGCCTCCAATATCCCCTACACTCAATTTATAATCTGTGGTCCCCAACAAAGGCCCCCCGGGTGTGAGTGCTACTCACCCTAAGCACGGGCAGCCTTGATAAAAACATAAGGGTCAGAAATAAGGCTACTGTGTCACTTGTTACCTGTTGCTTGCTGCTGCTGTCTTTTGCTGCCCCCTGCTTGCTTGCTTGTTTGTTGCTTGCTGCCTTCTGCCTGCCATGAGCTGTTTCTCCTCTGCAATGCCCCTTGCCATGCCCTCCTGCCTCGGAGCCAGCCAACTATGAAATGAAACCTCTACAAGCCGTGAGCCAAATAAACCTCTCTTCCTTTAACTCTGGGAGTCAGGTATTTTGTCTCAGCAATGAGAAAAGTAACCAAGACACGTGTGTGCCAGAAGTCTGCCACCACTGCCCTCGGTGATAAAGACCCTGCTCAAGTCACACCTCCCTGCCCTTTGCCGCCTTGCTTTCCTTACCTTCCCTACACAGGCCCTGTGTCACCCGAATTTCCCTACAGTACTCCTTGTTGCCAACAGTCTCCCTTCTTCTTTGGTTTACTTGCTTTCCAAACAGACCTTTCTCCTTGCCCCCAAAACTGTCCTCCAATCAAGGGCTTTTTTCAAGTGCAACTAAACAAACTTGGTTCAGTAATATAGATCAGAAATTTCAGGGCTGGGGATTTAGCTCAGAGGCAAAAAGCGCCTGCCTGGCAAGCGCAAGGTCGTGAGTTCAGTTCCCGTTACCGGAGAAAAACCAAAAAAAAAAAAAAAGAAAAAGAAAAGAAATTTCAGAGTGAGGAAATTAAAGACACATTGAAAATTAGGTATAATAACTTCCAGCTTATCTTCTGTGTCCTGTGTAAAATTAATCTCAATTGTTTTCACGTGCACACACAAACCTATCTGAAAATGTCTTAGATCTAAAACTCCAAAAAGAGAAAGAAAAAATACTTACTGTAACAGAACCTTTAGAAGTTCCTTTTATTTTACCAATATACACAGAAGTAAATATAAAATCCAGATGCAGACTCATCTCATTATTAGGTACAATACAGGACATGTTTTCCGTAACAGGATTATAGGGACATAATTCAGACGATGCCTAACAGAGAATTACAAAATGCATATAAATAAGCATTACTAAATGCACTATTACATAAATGCACTATTACATAAATGCTGAAAATTATTTACAAGGTCACATTCTTCTTTAAATTACGATTAACAAATCTGTGAAGGATTTTACATTGATCTTAATGTGAAGAAATAATTATCCATATTTTTTTTCCAAAAAGGCACATGATTTAGAGAAAAATAATCAAATCCAAAATTAATTCCATAGGCCTAAACTGCAAAAATATAACCACTTCTGTGTCAAAGCCATGGTGTCCTACTCAATGTTGCCTAGTTGGCTTTATTCATTTTTAATTCAATAGAAATAAGCTTAGATTTATATAGAGCTTTTTAAAATGAGTTCTTAAATGTAATATGACTTTTAAACTGTACAATCACTTTATTTATAGGGAGATTTCCCTCCCATTTTATAAATAAACTTAATAGATGTTTGAACTGGTTAAGTAACCTGCCTGAGGTCATGCAATTAATAATCAAAACTAAGACTCAACCTATGGTACTGACACTGTTTACAAAATGGGAGGACCACTGAAAAATATTTTTGCATAAACTTTTCATTTTATGGAAAGTATTCAACCACACAAAGCTGTTTCTACTAGCCATTACACTTTTGGTGAACAATGAAGAGATACAGAACTTAAGAATCTTGTTGTATCTATATGCTTTGTATAGATTTTATGTTTGAAGGTAGCCAAACAGAAATGGTTCAGAGTTGCTTCAAACTTTAAAAATCGTATCGTGTCCTCTGGAATAACTGTATAATTCTGTTTTTAAATAATACACAACAAGGCAGTGTCAGCAGCAGCTGTCTCCCAGTCTCTTCTGCATTTTACACTGCTCTCAGGTGACATTCTCAACTCTACATTTACCTTGTCCCTGAAGAATTAGCTTTTTATTACAGAAGATCTAATAAATTACTGTTAAAGCAATCACTGTACATGTGAATTCACTGCTCTTCTAATAAATGTAATCAATTACTATCTGAAACATACATAATACCATCATGAAGACAGATCACCATTCTACTTGTCTATCAGAACTATTCTGTCACTCTCTTCTTTTATTGCTTACTATGTATCTTCTCATCCCCTAAGTAAAAAGGAGAATCAAATTAACAGTAGGTGGTACCAGTTGAACTGTGACTTTTTTTAAGTGATAAAATGAAAAGTTTGTACAAAAGTATTTTTTCAGCGGGCCTCACGTTTGGTAAAGAGTGTCTTTAAAAATGACAAACCCGTATTTCTCATCACATTTAAAAGTAGTCGAGAGGGCACAGAGACGTGGTGTTCAGGCACTACAATGTGCCGCTTCTTAGGTACTGGTTTGTCTCACAGTACCTGCTGCCCTGCTATGGTCATGAACTATATAAATTCTGAGACGCTACTTTCTACATGATCATTTCATAGACTCGCACTGTTAATTTATGCGCTGCCAAGGTGACCATGATTCATCTATACATTTCAATTTATTAACAATGAAACTTCTAATTGAAAATACACATAAGCCATTAAGTCAATTATTGACCTGATCAGGCAAGAATAGTTACATCTTCGTAAAAGTTCAAAACATGGTTTCTGAGTTGATCTCTGTGTCAAGTACCAACTGCAAAAGAAATACCCATGAAACAATAATTGGACATCAAATTAACTTCCAACATGCTATGGCTCAGACCTAAAATGGAAAGTCCCGTGTGTTTAGAAGATCACCAGGTTATGGAGGCAGTGTGGGGGACCTGCTGTGACCAGGTGGGTCTGGGGGGAAGAGGCGAGCCCCTGAGGGCACGGCCGCGAGAGACAGCTTTCCCTCCCCAGCGCCTCCTGGACGCTCTGCTTCCTGTCCGCCGTGAAGTGAGCAGCTCTCCTCCACCAGATCCCTTCCCCACGCCTTCTGACCGTGGAGCCTGCCAGCTACTGACTAAAACCTACTTATCTGCTTATCAGAATCAGCCACAGTGAACCTTTCCTCTCCAATTTGCTGCTGTCAGGTATTGAGTCCCTGCACTGAGAAAGTGACTGGGACAGTACGCCTCACCAAGTTTATCACATTCCAGAATAACAGCCTCTGACACTATTCAAACACAAGCCAACAGAAGTTTATCACATGTGAGGGGACATATAACTCAGTGGCACAAGTGCCTGCCTGGCAAGCGCAAGGTCCTGAGTTCGATTCCCTGTACCAAAAAAAAAAAAGTAACACAAGTGAGGGAACTGACAAGAAATTATTTGAATCTTACTTTAGGCCCATTGTCTCTAAAGGACTATATAAATAGCATGACTGGCTGATGTTAAACTGACACATTTCCATTACTCTTTTGTGTAAGAGGGAAGAGCCAAGGGACGTACCAACTCTGATAGGATTCTGACACTATTACATATATATATATATATATATATATATATATATATATATTTGGGGGGGTACTGGGGAATCAAACTCAGGACCTGGTGCATGCCAGGCAGGCACTTGTGTCACTGAGCTATCTTCCTGGCCCGAAAATTTCCTGCACTATTTTTTTTTTTTTTTGGTACTGGGAATCGAACTCATAACTTCAGGCTTGCCAGGCAAGTGCTTATGCCCTGAGCTATCTCCTCTTTGACACTATTATAAATGCTTTCATAAAGCATTTCGCATTAGTATCACAAATAATCTTGTACATTAGGTGCTATTACACTAACTTAACACATGAGGAAACTGAAGCTTAAAGAGTTAATTGCCCAAATGGCAGAGCCAGGATCTGAACACACATCTGTGTATTTCTGGAAGCCATGTCCTTCTGTCTACACTGTATTACCTTAATGATATGGTGGTAAAAGGAACAATTCCAAGCAGCCACAGTGCTCTATGACCAGATGAATACTAGAAACTCTGTTGTTAATTCCCGAAATTTTTTGATAAAATAATTTTTTTTTGATAAAATAATTTTATGGCCAATGAGAATGACAAAGAAAATTCAAGTCTTAAGAGACAACAGCATAGCTCTTAGTTTAAAATAAAAATATTTCACTGAAACTAATATGAAAGTTATCTTAAACTAAGTTAATTTATAATGTTGTTAAAAGATTCTGCTCGTTAAAACGAACAGTAGTTACTAACCACTCAGTGAGAAAACAGAAGTAAATTACCTGTCCAGATTTACATGTGACCAGGGGCGGTTCTGACAGCGGTAATTCAGAAGTACTTTCATGCGCATTAGTAACCTCGTAGTCGTGCTTAGGCTGCAATTTAAGGGTTCCCGAACTTTCAGTTTCAATGGGCCCTTCTTCATCACTGGAAACGACAACTAAAAAGGAAAAGGTACTTTAGATGCACCACAATAACCACCTATCAAAAAGAAAACTTCCAAATTAATGCAACATACCTTTAATAACCGTGCTGCTTTACTTTCACCATCAGTCATTCACTTCAGGAACTAACCCGTGCCCGCTATGATTTCCACGAGTTCTACTGCTTCCCACCAGCGCTATTACCAGTAATTACCTGACACCTCACCCTCCAGAGGACTACAGCCTTAAAAATGGGCACAGCCATCAAGAGACGTGCTGTAGGTTAGAGGTTAAATGTCCCTCAATGACCCTGCGTTAGAGGCTGGGTCCGCAAGGCAGTGCTACCACAGGGAGTAGGACCTTAGAGGCGAGGCCTAGGGAGAGGCACTGCACTCACTGGGCACGCCTCTGCAGGGGACCTGTGACTCCGGCCTGTCCAGTCACTGCCCTTGCTCTCTGGCTCACGACACAAGCACTCGGCTCTACCATGCACCTGCTGCTACTGCCACCGGCACACCCAGCACAGGCCCAAAGCGGTGCGACTTCGCGCGGAACCTACGAAGTGGGAGCCAAAATAACGCTTTTCTCTTCCTGAGTGAATTATCTCAGGTATTCCGTCACAGTGATGGAAAGCAAAACATGAGATCTTACAAATAACTTCTAGTTCTAACAACGTATGGCACCATCAGTCTAACTTGCACTTTAAGGCCTGGCACATCAGGTGTTTCTCAAAGGGAAAGTGGCTAGAAGAAAATCACTTGCTGCACATCCTGGAGAACCCTGCGAGAGGATTAAACTTAACTGCCAACTTGACTGACTTGAGCGCCATGTAGGCGATTAGCAAAGTGCACTTCTGGGTGTGTCAGAAGACTGTGGGGGTGGCCTTAGGTATAGCTCTCCTTCCTTGCCCCGTCCGCTCCAGCTCTGTTCCCCTGCTGTTCCCAGCCACCGTGACTGAGCAGCTCTGCTCTGCCACGCATTCTGCTGTGATGCTTCTGCCCTGCAGTCAGCCAAGGGCGGACTGAATTCCCTGACGCTGTGAACGCAAACAACCCTTCCTAAATCGGAGGAGACAGCACTCAGGGGGGCGAGCTTGTAGAGACGAGAAGGAGACGTGGGCATGGTGAAGGACAGGAGGGCAAGGAGGGAAAACGAACTGGAAACGGTTACGATGCAGTATCTACAGCGGGACCTTGGTTTGCAAATGCTTTTGTTTGTGAACAACTTTAGTCTCAAACAAAAGCATTTGACAAAATTTTGCTTTTGACTGCAACTCTGCATCAGGTGATAAACATAACCATGGCCATGTTTCCCAAACACACACAAATGTGGCCATCTTTTCCAAAATCATGAACCAAAGTACCACTGTATATGTACCAATTCCCCAAGATGAACGTAAGTATTACATATCACAAGGACATGCAAACAAAAAGCAGCTAAATAAATTGTTTAAAAAATAAATCAATAAGCCCTTCCTTCTTTAAGCCATACACATCTGATATTTGGCCCCAACAACAAGAAGCTGACTAATACACTTTGAATTTTTCATACCATGTGATAGAACCAACTATTCAAAAATTTATTATATCAAAATTAATATATTAAATGGCATTTAACAGCCTCATCAACAAATCACAGTAATAATGATCCTTGGAAATCTTTCCTAAAAATGCTGGGTCGATCTGGGCATGGTGGCACATGGCTGTAATTCTAGCACTGTGGGAAGCTGAAGCAGGAAGATCACAAATTCTAGCTCAGCCTGGGCAACTACACAACTCAGCAAGACTCCGCCCCAAAATAAAAAATAAAAAGGGCTGGGGATGTAGCTCAGTGCAAAGGCTCTACATCAGTACTACTAGATGGACAGATGACAGATAGATGGATAGACAGACAGACAGAGTAAGGGCTGGATCACTCTGGACTACTCTGCTTACAAATATTCCACTTATTTAACAGATCAACATTACAAGTTTCATGAAAGAAATCCCAAAACCTCAGGACATTTTTCCCAAAGTTCACATATTCCACAGTGGTACTGTAACAGCTACTGCTTTAGCCAAATTTGAGAGGAGAGAGAAAAAAGCTAAGCACAGAAAATTAGTGCCTTTACAATCCTGTTACTTACTTGGCTCGGCCGAAATCAGTGACTGACTCCCTTCACTGTGCCCACTCAGCAGAGGCTTTTTTCCTGTATTCAAATCCTCCTCCTTCGCAACCAGAGATGAAGTCACTGTGCCGCTGGGAAGAGAGCTGCCCACGTGTTCAGGGGCTGAGCAGGCAGAGGCACTTGCGGAGGAGGCACCCACACCCAACTCCTGACTATCAGCTGAGGACAGTTTAGTAAAATCCCTTTCTCTAGGTTTAGGAGTAATTTCTTCAAGGCGTCCTGGATCCTGACGATAGCTCTTACTTGACTTTTCAAATTCGGTGGAAACAGTTGACTCATTTTCCTGTTCTTTCTGAACATAAATAAACATATAGAAAATTAGCATGTGTCCAATTTGGCTCCCTTAAAGCACTTTTTAAAGGCTTAAACTTTTAAAGAATAATATAAAAATAAAAACTGTATCACTTCCATAACTACATGGCATGGGCAGAAAAGTATACAGTTTATAGTATGTTACATGTGGCATGTCCCCCAAGTATAAAGACATAGGATTCGGTCTGTCCAATCTGATGCCTATGCAATTTTTCAAAGGGTAAGGCAGAGAGATGCCACCTTTACAAGTGGTTCAGATGGTCAGCGTCAAAGAATTTTTTTAACATTTTTATTTTGCAAAAGTAATGATGTCACATAGCAAATTATTTTGGTAACAAAAGCAAAAAAATTAAAACTCAGCAAGATAACAATATTAAAAACTTTTAAACCATTGCCTTCAACCTATCATTGTATAAGTCTAAATCATATTTGCATTTATGACACAAAAGCACAACCAGAAATGATCTGTGACTCAAAGGGATGAAAATCTGTCTTCCTTATAGTTTTAGTGTTATTGATAACCATATGATGTTTTCGTAAATAGGTAATATGTATATTAAGTATGCTAATTACTTATAAGAAATTTCCTAAATTCTAGATAAACATAAGCTTAAAGAATTTGGTAAGTGGGGGCTGGGGATTTAGCTCAGCAGCACAGCGCCTGCCTGGCAAGCGCAAGGTGGTGAGTTGGATTCCTGGTACCGGAAAAAAAACAAAGAAACAAACAAACAAACAAAAGAATCTGGTAAGCCAATTGCTACTGACAAAAGAAATCCGGTAGTACTTATATAGAGCAAGTAAAAAATAACAAGTGACTGAGAAGTATGATTAGTACTTGGTTACAATTTTTAATTTAATTCTTTTTTTTTTTTTGGTACCAGGAGTCGAACTCAGGTACTTGCATTTGCCTGGCAGGTGCCTGTGCCACTGAGCTATATCCACAGCCTCGTTACCATTTTTAGGAAGTCTTAAGGACATACACCAAACTACTAAGGAAAGAGTAGTGTCAGGGAAAAAACAATTTAGTGTGTTTACTGATTTATAATGTTTGGATTTTTTTTTGGGGGGGGGGTGCTTTTTGAGACAGGGTCTCACTGTGCAGTGCAGGCTGGCCTTGAGCTCACTTTGTAGCCCAGGCTGGTCTCGAACTTGCAACGATCCTCCTGCCTCTGCCTCCCAAGTGCTGGGATTATAGGTGTGGGCCACCACGCCCAGCTAATATTTGGAATTTGTTCCAGTAGTTTTGTACTGCTGAGAAAAATTACACATAAAATATTTTTTTAAAACATAAAGGTAGCAAAGAAACAAACGAACAAAAAAAAAACATGAAAAACACAGAAGTTAGAAGAATATTATTTGGCTGCCGTCAATTCACTTTTATCACACATAAAATTATTTCCTATTACATCTAAATACCTCTACTTACTGTTTGTCTTGTTGATTCATCCAAAGAAGCAGAACTGTTACAATCAGGCGAACTACTTCTAAGCCTTTTCTTTGTCTTCCTGGAAATCAGAGTGGGTTCCATTTTTGAGTCAGAATGTGTAACATCCTTGTTTCTGCTCCCCTCTTCAAGATACTCACAACCTCTACTTCCACTGTTACGGTCTTAAAAAACAGAAGAAGCAAAAATATGGCCAAAAATTGCTGTTCTCTTCCAAAACTCATTAAAACATTGTTAAATTTCCACATTGACACTGGGTTAATGTGAAGGTGTATCTTGAATTATCCTTTTTATACCAAGTGAATGTTCAGTTACATAATAGATGTGAGATTAGGAAAATACATAGAGAGGAGTGTTGTTTTTCAGAGTCACCAAGAACCAAAGTCTGTTTTCTCATTTGCTATAAACACATTTGACATTAATACCCAAAAAAAAAAAGCCTTCAATAAAATCTGGAAAATTCACATCTTAAAAAATGCTTCAATAATTCATTGTGATTTTGTATACTAGTTTTAGGGGGATTCACGTTTTCTCATTGAGACGGAGAGTCTCTGTATGTATATCGGCCCAGGCTGGCCTCAAACTCATGGTGATCCTCTTGCCTTGGCTTCTCAAGTGCTGGGATTATAGGTGTGTGCCACCATGCCTGGCCACTAGCTGTCTTTTAAAATGTAATTTACATAATACATTTTTTAAGTGGAAAGGGACTACAATTTGAAAGTGTAGAATGTTGATTGCTCTACTTTTTTTAGAAGAGTCAAAATACCCTCCTGAGATCTGTAGTTGACTGTGATATGTGATACTTCACAAGGCTATCAACTTACTTGACAGTTTCTTTTTTTTCTAATAATCAAGATCTGATATTCTAAGTCTCTAATAAATCCACCATCCAACAAAGAAGTGCTTCCTTTAGCAAAATCAATGAAGTATCACTTTGGGTTTGTTTTTTGTTTGGGGGAGGGGTTGCCAAAAATTTATTTGAAAAGTGCAGGGTAAATAAGTGTGGGAGAAATCAGCTCTGTAGAGTGGATGTAGGCCAAATAGAAAAAGAGAGTGAAAGCAAAAATAAAAGTCCACGCTGAGTCTGAGAAAAGCGGCGTGGGCTATCATGGATGCTCACTCACGGTATCCTGAAGTATTGCTTGAGACCCATGCAGTTATTCACTAAAAATTAGTACTTCGGTTATCAAATACACGTACTGTACAAAATTACCTTTATTTAAAATAAATTTTAAATAAATAAATACTCGCGGTATCCTGAAGTATTGCTTGAGACCCATGCAGTTATTCACTAAAAATTAGTACTTCGGTTATCAAATACACGTACTGTACAAAATTACCTTGCCATAGGGGTCTACATAAGTAACTGAATGGGTCACTAAGTTATTTTCCTTTCAAACTATATATAGCATATATATAGTTTGAAAGGAAAACAATCAACTTAAAGTTTACCACAGCAAATCACAAAGCAGCCTCCTTTAATTTATAACTTACATTCATCTAATACTGATAGTCTGACCTCATTCATTCAAAATTCTTCAACAATGCATACCTTTAAACTGTTATTGGGCTGGGGATATAGCTCAGCAGCAAAAATACCTGTCTGGCAAGCGCAAGGTCATGAGTTCAATTCCCAATACAAATAATAAATAAATAAATAAACAAACTTCTTGATCTTACTCTAGCTTCACAAACTCTCAACAAATAATATCTATGATAATATGTCTATGTCATTCTTTAAAGGGTGGCACTGACACAGGATTAAAACTCCAAGATTGCCTTCCAATTTCCAAAGAAAATACTTTACTCTTGGGCTGGGGATGTAGCTCAGCGGTGCAGCGCCTGCCTGGCAAGCATGAGGCCCTGAGTTCGATTCCTGGTACCAAAAAAGAAAATAGAAAAAAAAAGCCCCTTAAAAATACTGCCTCTTTCCCTCAGGAATATCAACTTCTCCCAAATCATCAACACCATATTTAGAAAGCACATTAAATTTTATTTATAATATTTAAATCATAAAAATGTTAAATATGATTTCTAAACATATTACAATTTTTAACTATAAATTCCACAGTAAAAGACTGATAAAAGGAAGCTTGAGAAAAGCTATTTTATATGAGTTGTCCTTTAAATAATTTGCCATTTGGGTATCAGTGAAGCTTACATCTCAGGAAATAGGAATAATTCTACTATACAGAGCCAGACATAAATAAAATCTGCCTATATAATATCTATATATATATAATTTAATGTGGAAATACTCCTAGCATATAAAATTAAATAGACAAAAATCCTATAAACAAAATATTACACCTTTCCAATATATTAGAATGGTAAAATCAAATACCACAAGGCAAACTTAATATACTATCAAAGGAATAGTATACCTGGGATTTGATTCACAATTTCCACCATTTTATAGGTTAATGTGAAACAACTAGCACTAGATACAATGATCTATAGGAGAGGAAATATACTGAGCTTAAATAAAAGCTCAATAGCTAATTCTCTTACATATACTTTGCCTACTTTACCTTCAGGGATTGAAAAAGGAAAACCTCAAGTGCTTCCTTACACACTTCCCATGATGCATGGCTGAAGCCTCCTGTGACTCTGAGGTAACGCTGCCAGCCCCTCCTCACCACCGCACAGACTCGGTCAGGCGCAGGCGGGGCCCCACGTGGCTGTGCCTACAAGGTGTGTGACTCTGAGCATGCACAGATTCTTTTCTTGCCATCATTCACTAATACAGAGCAACACATAGCAGGCACTGTCAAGTAACACAGGGGTAATTTAAAGTACGTAAGAGGATGTGCCCAGGCCACACGCACGTAACTAAATCACTGCGTATCAACAGCTTCAATACCCAGAAACACTGCTCTTTGCCAGAGGACGGATACAGAGTGTTCTGGAACCATGAGTCCTCTATAGATATGGAGGTAAAATTTAAGGGCACAAATCCAAAAGCACGTTATTCAAACAGCCCTAAAGCAGGGCATGGTAGCACAAGTCTGCAATACCAGCACTCGGGGCTGAGGCAGGAGAGCTGCCGTGAGTTGGAGGCCAACCTGGACTACATAGAGAAACCTTGTCTCAAAAAACAAAACAAGACAAAACAATTCCTACTCTAGCTAGGAAAGCAGAAGAATGTGAAGGTCAAAGATTGTCTTGAAAATACCTGAACTGAGCTCGTTTATATACTTGTATTTTTATTTTGTGAAGGATAACAATTTCTAAGAAAAGTATATTTAAGCTGGGTGTGGTGGTGCACACCTGTAATCCCAGCACTCAAGAGGCTGAGGCAGGAGGATTGTTTTAAGTTCGAGACCAGCCTGGCTACAAAGTGAGCTCAAGGCCAGCCTAAACTGCATAGCAAAACCCGGTCTCAGAAAGACAAAACAAAAAGTATATCTCATAAAAAAACAGATGTCTCTCGATGTGTGATGACAGTGGCTGGCCACGGTGCTTTCCCCAGGCCACCCTTCCAAGAGCTTCAGTGGCTTCTAACGTACAGGAGAGTCTCTAGTGTAGCTCCTTTTCACTTTTTCTCTTCTATGATAAAGGCGACTAAAAATATCTTTAAGTAGCTATGTTTGAGATGAAGTACATTTTCTTTAATTTTTGCATAATATGATTAGAAAAACTTCTGGGTGAAAAACAAAGTCACTCAGAAAACTATGTATTTCAACTTGTTTCAAGCGTTCAATAATCAAGGGACCTCTGAAGGTGTTAGTGTAACAAGTGGCTAATGAGGTAAGTTCTTCTTTGTACAAATTTTGGTAAAATGTTTTTAAATCTAGAAAGAGATGGAAAAAGAAAAAGTTCATCAAATCTTTTATCTTAAATGTGAGGGGGTTTACTCAGAACGCTGCATGTTCAGAAGTGTGGGATGTATTGACCTTCAAATTTCCTAGCTTGTATGTGCATCGTAAAACTGAAATAAATTTTCAGGAACAGAGAATGTGTTTCCAAGTAGTGTAGCTAATAAAAAATCCAGTTAGCAGTACGGATATTAAAAAAACAACACATAGAATAGCTAAATTAACAGAACTTTAGAACTACATCTCTAAATCCCTCAAAAGAAAGAAAAGACTCTCAAATTTAACCTTTGGTATTCATAAATTAATTAAGATTTATGTACTACTGAAGTACATAAATAGTAAGACTTAGGAATCTTCTTTATGTTGCTAAATAATCTCTCTTTACTTTCATGTATTCTTTCAATACAAGATGAAATATTTATAATTTAAAATTTCTGTAAAAGCAACAGGCAACAATTCAAATCCTAACAGCTTTCTAAGATTCACAAACCTTTAGGCCGAGTATCAGGTATTGTAGGAGAAAGGCCACCATCACCTCTTCGCTTTTCTGTAGTGCGTGCAGCCTGCTTTGAAGAAGCGTTATCTACAGTCTTACTTGGTTGTGAATCCCTGCAAAACAGAACTGAATTATACTCAGTTCTAATAAAACCCCCAAAATTTTAAAACCAACTGGTATACATTCAAAATAAAAATACAGCAGGTTATAGATATATTCCCAAAGGGAAGATTATATAATCTGGTCAGCGAAAAAAAAAATGCACTCAGATTTAAGAAGTTCTCATCCCTGTTCTACTTTGAAACTCCTTGTGTGTCTTTGAGGGAAAAGACAGGATACCGTATTACACAACTGTGCACAAAATGAGCACAAGACTAATTTAAATGTGTTTTTTTTTTCTTTTTTGGGGGGTGGTTTGAGACAGGGTCTCACTAGGCAACTCAGGCTGGCCTTAAACTTCCAGTGATCCTCCTGCCTCAGCCTCCCTGGGATTACAGGCCTGTGAGCAAGTCCAGTTAGCTAAGTATTAAACAAGTCAAAGGACCTGTAAATATAAAATTCAAGACCATAAATACCCTGATAATCAAAACTACGAGTAATGAAACTATTACAAGACAAAACTAATTGTTAACATCTTTCAAGCACATTTTCAAGTTCACATATGAAACATATTTTCAAGTTCACCTATAAAAAGAAAAGTAGAAAACACAGTTTGGACAACAAATATTACCTATATAGGGAACCATTTAAAATCTAAGGTTAGGGTTCAATGTGTAAAATATAAGGTAGAATAAAAAACAAGTTTTGGTATGACAGATACATTATTTCTGATAAAAATGTAAAGCATCCCACCATGTGTGAGTGTATAGATATGAAATAAAATTTAAAATTTGAGCTAGAAGGATTTAAACTTCAAGACAGTAGACAGCCCTAAGGGGGGGGGGGGGAGAACCAGACACTATAAACAAGTACTCGATTTTCTACATTTCTTTTACAAATAATGACAATTTGACATCAATAAGGAAATACTGTACATTAGTTAAATTTGAGTAATATATATTGTGGTATTACTCTCTGAATTCATGTACACATTTAAAATAGTTTATAATTTCAAAAATATAAGGTAACTGAAATAAATGAAACAAGGACTATAAAGATCAGTTGCTCATTATGTTTTTTTCAAGAGAAATGATTGGGAATATTAAAAATATGGTATCACAGTAAGAAGAATAGTATTGCTGTTATTACATTTTTTTTTATGCTTTTCATATTTACTTTGGTGCAATTTTCCTTAGTTTTAGATTTGAAATTAAAAGACGGAATATTCAAAACCCTAAGACTAAGCCAGCGTAAGTCGCACAAAGGCATCCAGTCGTTCTGTCAGGGCCGGCTCAGGTGTGAGGAAATGCTGCAGGCAGGCAGAGCGGCTGGGCCCCAGGGAGCCAGTGCAGGTGAGAACACACCAGAGCTGTGGCTGGAGGCGCACCTGAAGGCTGAGGTCACAATGGCCTAAGGAGTAAAGGGAGGCCTGACACTGCTGGTAGCAGCTTTGGAGACTTCCCATATAAAGAGCCCATTCCCTCATTGGGGGTGGGAATCCTCACCTACCTACTAACACCAAGAAGACTGCGGCCACAGGTTACTGGCCAGGGTAACGATGTCACCCATGCGCCCTTGCTACTGCTGGGTCAACAGTACTTAAACTACTGCACTCGCACTTCTATTGGCTGGTTACAGTTTTGACCCACGTTGTACCCATCCCTTTGCTGGATAAAACTTCCTCAGAGAAGTGGGCTCCTTGGCAACCTACTGGAGACCCCTCCTGTCTCTCAGAAGCTATTCCTAGTGTCCGCTTCTATTCTCTTTCCTCAAGAATCAACTTTGAATGAGAAAAGCATCTAAGAGCACTGTATACCGAAGCATTTTCTTCACTGAAGATGAAGTCCTAAAGAAAGGTCAACTTATTTTTCTCACTAGCAATATTATGACTACAAACCCTATAAATACAGAATGTGCTCTTAAATGATGAAAATATTAACTGTTCAGATACTCATGCTTCTCCTAAGAAACAAATGGTATAATAGTTCCTTTTCTAACACAAAACACACATTAAAAAGTAATTTACCTACAAACTACACTATGAAGTATGTGGCTGTAGAAAAGAAAGATGTTACAACGTGGGATTTTTCCTGACCAAGCAAAAGCCAACAACAAAAATTAATAATCCATTATTTTCAAAAGATAATGTCATAAAATTCAAAAGCATGGACCCTCAAGATTATTACAACTCTAATATAATCTCAGTCAAAATATCAACAAGATTTTTGGAGACTGTGACAACCTCATTCTAAAATGCACTTGATAGGGGTCATACATATTTAAAGACAGATCCTGGTATGCATTTAAAGATGGCAACGTTGAGACACTATTAGTTTCCATCCTCTGATAACAAAAGAAAATGAATAAATTGGAAATAAGCAAAGTCCCTGAAAGAGAGATACTATAAATATGCACATAACTCAAATTACATAATAAATGTAGTAAAAGCTCAAAAATGGACATTCTGCAACACAAAAAGTTTTAAAAGGTATACTATGCACCTACAGATATCTATAGGTACTAGAGCTGCCCACAGATAATAATATTCTACACACTTAAAAAGCTAGAAGAGTGGATTTTGAAAGTTTCCACCACAAAGACATGATAAATACTTAAAAAAGACAAATACATTTAATCTGTTTTAAACATTATGCAATGTATACATGTATCAAACATTACATGGTATCAATTAAAAACTAAATTAACATAAAAAATTTAATGGATCAAGCAAATCTATCTTGAAGTTATAAAAATATACAATAAACAATGAACTACTAGAATCAAGATACACAAATAGACCCAGTGAATCAACAACAGAACCTAGAAATAAACCCTCAAATACGTGGTAATAAAGGGCTTTGACAAAGTTATTAAAACCATTCAGTACGGAAATAATCACCTTTCCAACAAAGGACACTGGGAACACAAAAGAGTAACATACAAAATAAAGAAGCTGGGCACTAAATTCTTTTGTGTAACACCACAAATAAAAATTAACGCACAGGGCCAGGCATGGTGGCGCACATCTGAAACCCCAGCACTTGGCAGGGGAGGCAGGAGGATGGCCATCAGTTCAAGGCCAGCCTGGACTACACAGTGAGTTCAAGGCCAGCCTCGACTATGTAGTGAGACCCTGTCTCAAAACACAAACAAACAAAACAAAAACAGATGAAAGACCTAAGTGCAAGACAGAAGACTATAAAAACATTGCAAGAGAATATATAGGGGGAAATCTTCGTGATACTGGATTTGGTATTCATTTTTTTTGGTACCGGGAATCAAACTCAGGACCTTGCACTGGCCAGGCAGGTGCTTGTGCCTCTGAGCTATATCTCTGGCCCTGGCATTGATTTCTTGAGTATGAAATATCAGTCAAAAAAAGAAAAAATACATTTCACTAAAATTAAAAACTTTTGTACATCAAAAGGACACTACTAATAGAAATAAAGCTTCTGTAAATAAGGAAGGGAAGAGGAGCAGAAGGGAGGGGAAGGGAAAAAAAAAAGAATGACAGTATATCGTGTACAGATACAAATTCTCTATAATGAATGTGATCAATATATGAATCTAAAATGTACCAATAAACTTAATTTTTTTATTGTAGTAAAAAGCAAAAACATGTTTTCATGAGAAACCACTTTGAAGATATCAGTATGTAATACAACAAGCATTGTTAGTTTCCTACCACTTTGTTTGTAACTCTGTATTGTCTGTACTATTCTTTTGCTATTTCGTAAAAGGTTGTCTGTCTGTTAATGTTTTCCTTCTATTTTTAAAATTAAAAAATTAAAAGAACAACAAGGGGCCAAACATGTTCACTAGAAAAAAAAAAAGACACTAGTTCTTTTTTTTCTTTTTCTTTTGATCTTTTTGAGCCAGAGTCTCGCTATACAGTTCAGGTTGGCCTTGAGCTCACTTTGTAGCTCAGGCTGATCTCAAACTCACGACACAATCCTCCTGCCTCAGCCTCCTGCCTCAGCCTCCCGCCTCAGCCTCCCAAGTGCTGGGATTACAGGCATGTGTCACCATGCCCGACAAGGACACTGAGAACAAAGCACAAACCACAGAAAACATCTGTAAATCATTTATCTCATAAAGGATTAATGTTAAGAACAAACAATATAAAGAGTGCTTAAACTGAACAACAACAAAACAAGCCAATTCACAAAAAGGGCAAAGTTCCAGGCATGGTAGCACATGCCTGTAACCCCAGCACTCTGACAGCTGAGGCAGGAGGATCACTCTGAGTTCAAGGCCAGACTGAGTTATATAGTAAAACTGTGTCAAAAAGCAAAATATTAAAAAAGTAGGCAAAGTATTTGAATAAACATTTCTCCAGGGGCTGGGAATTTAGCTCAGCGGCACAGTGCCTGCCTGGCAAGCACAAGGTGGTGAGTTTGATTCCTGGTACTGGAAGAAAAAAACAAACAAACAAACATTTCTCCAAAGGTATCACAGTCCCTCACTTGAAATTATACTACAACGCTACTGTGATAAAATCCGCATGTTACTGGCTAAAAACAAAAAGGACCTGAAGATCAGTGGAACAGATTAGAAGATGTAATGTAATCTAACAGATTAGAAGATGTAATCTTTTCTAAACTTCTGAGGTCTCCAGTGTCCCTTTTGCTTCACACTCACAATGTTGGCACAACCACAAACACACTCAGCCACTGTTGACAAAGGGGCCAAACATGTTCACTAGAAGAAAGACAGCCTCTTCAATAAATGGTGCTGGAAAAACTGGCTCACCACATGCCAAAGACTGAAACTAGACCCATGTCTATCACCATGCACCAAACTAAAGGCAAAATGACTTAAAGTTCTAAATATCAAAAGAGAAACACTAAATCTGCTGGAAGAGAAAGTACACAAAAATCTTGAAGACATAGGGGTACGCAGAGTCATAAACAAAAACCAAACTGCACTGCAAATACTTACAAGAATCAGTAACTGGGATCTCATCTTACTGAAAGGTTTTTGCACATTAAAAGAAATCAACAACAGAGTAAAA